AAATTTTGAGTACAAAATTTGCACAGTTCGGACATTGAAACAAATTGCAGGAAAAAGAAAAACAAGAAGAAATATAATTGAAAATTTCAACCAACTTATCAAAGAAAAGGCATCACAAAGTCATGAGGAACCAGAAAGAAAGAAAAACTATTTAGTTGAACTCAACAGCAGTTAGCTACATTGCTCACTATGGTAACTAACCTGCTTGAGCTTTCTGGTTTAGATTCCAACCAAGTAAATGGTTTTCTGTTTGATAATTCAGAAAGCGAGGATGAAATCGTGAATGAGGGGGATCTATCATCAACTTTAGAGCTAAAACTAAGGGAGGGAGTAGAATTGTTCACTTCTTTCGGTTTGTCAAAATTGAAGACTGACTGAGGAAGCAAGGTTGATTGGAAGGATGCGCTTGGTGCCTGGGAAGCCCTGGAGGCAAAGAGAGCACCTTCTTTTCCAACAATGAATACACCAGAACTTTCCATGTCACTGCTTTTGCTAGATAAAGGACCCGAAGTTGACTTCAGTTCCAACTGAATAGTGGTTTTGTCTGATTTTAGTTCAGCAGGTGAAGTCTTTCCGTCAATGAGAGCTATCTCCGCTGTTTCTCTCCCATCACCTAATGGTTTCAGCACACGCCCATTAGAATGTCTATTATCGTCCTGCTCCAAAAAGTCCCACATAAGAAAAAAAAATTAATATAGACACAAGCTCCATAAGGAGAAAAAATTGAAATGTACACAGAATAAGCTAGATTTTCATTACAGCAAATCAATCTATTCTTAAAGGGCCAGTAACAGAGATTAGAGTACTCAACAATCACCAACTACACTTCAAGCCCCAGATATACAGATGTAAACTAACAATAAACTAAACTCATAACAGATCAAAGTCAAGCCTGTAAGCAATTCATTCTTAAACATATACACTACATGGAAAGGAGACAATACCTACCTCGTGTGCACTCATCTTAGAGGATCGTCTCTTTTCGGGAGGTTGAGATGCAAAAGTCTTAAGGGCAGTATCATTAGTTTCACCCATAGGTCTGAAAGTGTTTACCGATACTGAGGTATCAATATTCACAGCGGGAGTCAACATATCACATGGACCAACAGACTCTTTTGGGCCATTTTCTTCTACTTCCCCTTGCTTTTGTGAAGTAGAATCATGAGCATAAGGCAAAGCGGCTATGGGCCAACCCTCCAACTTATGGCCATCCTGGAGCTTGATTGGTTTCATTTTCAAAGGTAACTTCTCCCGCACAGCAGCTAGCATGGATTCTGATGATTTTTCCTTTGGGGTCAACTTTTCAAGATGCTGCAATATTCTAGCAGCAACCTCGCTAGACTTAGAAGGTACAGGAGTATAACTGGTACTTGGAATGCCGTTATCCTCATTTTCTCCAATAGTTTTTGAGACCTTATGCCTTGTTTCATCCTCTAATGGAAGTTTCTGCTTTAAAGATATTTGTGAAGCATCAGAACCAATCTCCACTCCACGATCAGAAAGAGGGCTTCTATGAGATAAAAGACTGGGTTTCTGTCTGATTCTCCGTATGGGACCAACAGAACCAAGATCATCATCTAATATTGAACTCCTGCGTTTTAGAGTCTGAAATAAAAAATAAAAGAACGAAAAAAATATAGAATTTAAAAGAAAAGAAAAATGGAAGATAACATGTGAGATAACAATGTATAATCTAAAACTATTAAATCGTTACTATATACCAATTTGTTAGGCCCAAATCGTCTATAATGCTCCACTGCAAATGGAGATGATGATGATGATGACGGCCCACCATTACCATAATTAACGGATCCAGTTCCCTGGAAAAGAACAAGCATCAGAGAAAACTAGACAGAAAGTACAGGTATACTGTACATAAATGAAAACATCGTAAATGAACCTTTTGTACGTCAGTTGAATAAACTCTGGAATATGGAGTACGAGCCATATTGTATATTGGTGATCTGCCTCGAGATCTTGGGGTTACAGATCCATATTTAAGAACCTCAGGATTAACAGCATTCCTCATTGTTAATGACGTGATAGGCGGTTTCGGTGTAAAAAGTACACTACTTAGCAACCCTGAGCCTTCCGTAACAGCTTGATTCCGCATCCCCAACATTGATGGTGATAATTTTGAAGGCCTACTGCCCATGTAAGCTTTTGCAAGTTCAGCAGGAGAAGCAATTTCTTCCTCAAGGACCTAGACACATTTCTATGGAATAAATATCAAACAAAACTCGTTCTGTTACCTTAAAGAGACAAGGATACTACAAGAAATCATCATATGTATATCAACCAACAACAAAATTATAATTGGATATCTAAATGTTTAACTTGTCAATAATAGAACATTTCAGCATACTTTTGAACTCACTATAGGTGTTGCTATGACTCCATGAGATCTATCCTCCTCAATTTTATTTTTTTCCAATGAAACACTAGAATATTGTTGAAGCCTTTCAACATCCGTCAGCGGCTTTGCTAATTCATCTGTCACTAATCCATCATCACTAACTGAAACTTCTATAGCTTTTGAATGCAATAGCTCCCTCAAGTGTTCAATCTCAGGTCTGCACCAACAAGCTTTACTTTAGTACCTTGAGCCCAATGATGTGCACGCATATTTAGGACATTATGAAATAACCAGGTGCCTAGACAAAAATAATAATTGAAATATATGCAAATAGAGAGTTTGTCAATAAATAATAGAAGGTCGCATTGCAAAGTAGTTGGGAAACCAAGTCAATTCCCTAAAGATATGCAAATTCAAACCATCAACTGTGAACTTGCAAAAGCTATCAGGTCTTTGGACAAAATTGCACAACATAAATAAAATTCAACAAATAACAAATCCATGATTAGTTTATGATTGTACAAAAATAAGTCTTTACCAGTCAAATCTGAATACCTAAGAAGAATTACATCTTTTTTTCAAATTAATTTGACATTTAGAGGTGTCCATGGTGTATGAATTATTAATGGCACTAAAAAGGTAGAAATCAAAGAACTGTGTTTCATCTAATATACAAGAGAAATCCATGCAAATGCAAGCCAAAGTGATGCGCACTGGCATTTAGGCAAGCAAGCTGGTTTTGTAAAGCCTGCAGGGGATGCATGGATAAGGAAAACCAATAAGTAGACAATATAGCCAAAAACTAAGTTAGTTGGCTGCCACAGGGGTGTAGTAACAGGATATCCAGCTATTCATCAATTTCCACCACAGAAGATCAAAGGATGAACTCCTATATGATAGACGACCGGCGAAAGTGTAAAAATTAACAGCCTGTTTGAGAGTGATTTTGAGAATTGATTTTTTGACCGTTAGGAGAAAAGTGGGGTCCACCCGTGAGAGAAGAAGTCAAATATAACGGTTGGAATAGTGAAATAATGGTCAAAAAATCAATTTTTTGGGCAAAAAAATCACTCCCAAATAGACCGTAAATAGTTCAGAGCATTTAGCTCTTAAAATGAACTTTATACTTATGCAAACCTGCAAAAGGAAAAACTACATGAAGCATGTTAGATACTGAAAAATGATTGCAGAAGCTTACCTAGTGAAGGTCTTCTGCTTTAACAATTTTTCAATCTCAGAGATTCCACCATTTATCAGATGGCGGCCATTACCACCTGCAGGCTCTCGTCCTCCAGATTGAATCTTCACCCATAAAATGAAAATATAAATCACTTTCACCAGCTTTAAAAATACAGTGGGTGCATCCACAAGAATAAAGGGAGAAATAAAACATATTAATCTGAATTAAGAAAAATGTAGGTCTCAAAATATGAACTAGGCAATGGCAGGATTAAAAATTTAACAAGCAATTTAGTACGTGCTAGGTCCACTTTCTTGCATGAAAAGTTCACATTATTGGACTCTGCAAGAAGTGCTTTCACGGGATATTACATGCTAGATGAACCAATAATTTAATAAGTTCTATGTAACTGTCCTTCAGAGAAGTTAGATTGGAGAGCCGTAAAGGTTGCTTTCTTAAAATGGAATGCTTAGAATTGTACTTCTCATTGTAGAGCATCCATAACACATTGAACACCCATGCCTTCCTCCATTGCCAAAAATGTTGTTTGAGGCATATGCCTCATTTAAGGTTTTCATGATGCACAACAAATCTAACAGATTACCAGCCCGTTTGGGAGTGATTTTTTCCCTTAAAAAATTGATTTTTTTAACCACTATTTCACTATTCCAGCTGTCATATTTGACTTCTTCTCTCACAGGTGAACCTCATTTTTCTCCTAACAGTCAAAAAATCAATTTTCAAAATCACTTCCAAACAGGCTCTACATCTTGAATACAATTTAATGTTTACAACTCAATTTACTGAGCTTACGCGTCAAGGTGCCCAAGGACCGGGTTGGTTGTGCGCACTCATTTATCTTGCCTAATCCGGACTTCTTATTATTGAACTCACTGTTTTTACACATTTTTTTGTAGACTTTTACTGGTTTTTTGGTTTTCTTTTCTTCAATCTTTAAAGAGAGAAAACTTTTAGTAATGTTGTTGATATGGGTGATTCCCAGGTTTTTTCTATTTCTAATAGTAGATTGCACTTTTATTATGTAATTACTAATTTGAAACATTACTTTCTACTACTTTGTGGTTTTTTGTTTTCTTTTCTCTGCCTTTAAGGAGAAGGCACCATTAGTAATGTTGCTGAAAGGTTCCCCGGGTTGTTTCTATTTTTAATAGTAGATTGTAATTGTGTAATTACTAATTTGAGACATTGCTTTCTGCTACTATAATAATACCTG